AAAAGTGTTTCACCAAATTGCTGGGTGTGTTATCACAGTTCTGAGGAATGCTAGAATCTATTTTTTAACCAAAATACATTGTGCATTAATATGCATAGCAAAAGATGTCACCTACAGTGAGCCATCTGCAGCCAAACTGCTGTTAGTGGAGGAGGTCCTGTGGTTTGTCCAGTGCTTGAATAACATAAAGCATAATCTATTATTGGACTTTAGCTTGATGTCCTCTATATAATATATGTTACATTATTATCTAATATATATTATATTTTCTATGTAATTCAAGATAATATATGTAATATAAATAATACATTCAATAAATATTTAAACACAATTTGATGAGAAATAGAAAATGTTTAGATTAATTTATCATTAAATAATATTTAAATTTTTCTTAGTATCCAATACTGGGATAAGAGTAATCATGAGATCTGTTCACTTCATTTAAGAGTCTATCTGAGGAGGGGAGAGGAAATTATTGGGAAAAAAAACCACTGAGCCTAAATGTGCTTCAAACTGTTGTTTTAGTAGTTGAGAAGGGGCAAACCTTAACTGATAATGGAATATTTAGTGATAAAGGAGGAAATTCAGTGTGGACCATAAAGGATGGGTAGCATTTAGACAGATGGGAGAGTACAATTGGACTGTGAATCATAACTCATACAAAAGACAATGAGATGCGATGGTTGCTCGAAGGAGGAAGTATAAGGGGACTAAATAGTAATGGAAAAAAATACAATAAAGATTAAAGTTAAAAAAATGAGAGTACTACTTTAACGGAGTAAATGGTACATTTAGATGTCATGGTTTGAGGACAAGTTTAGTTGTGATGCATCAGGAAAGAACCCAACAGCTTTTATTGTAAAGGACAACATGAAAGCGTGAGTGAAGAAAAGTGGTTCAATGGCTAATGTGAATGGTATGAACACCAGCAAATAAAAATTCCATGTGCTTGTTCTTTTGATTGTCCATTAGCCCAAGTACTATGCTATGTTGTTGAGCAGAGATTTCATTATAAATTTTATATAAATTTGTGTTTTAAGTTTCAATTTTGGAGCATATTGACGGATGCATGTTAGTCATTAAGCCTTCTGGACGTTTTGTTTTTTTGAGAGGCTTCCATTCTGTTTTGAAGCTAAGTAGATTAATAATAGCCCTGAGCAGGAGTGTGCTTAATTCTTGAATTAACATTTGCTAATTCACCGCATTTCTTAGCTGTATCGCATTAACTCTCTTGAATGATTATGAAAGACACACTAAAAAAATCAGAATATAACTTTTTAGTAACCAATAGTTTTGATTTTTTTTTTAAATGATACCATTTATTGAAATTCTACATGTGAAATTCACTTAAACTTTCAAGTGGTACCTCTTGAAACACTTAAATAAGACATTTCTGATTATCCAGCAAAGACCTTAGCCAAGAGAATTGTATTACTATATTTTACGTCTCTGATACATGACAAAAGGGAACCCAGGGGATGGGTTAAACAGGAAGATATTTTATAGTAGTTATATACACGGCTACATTAGAATACAGAGACGTCAGAATTAGCAGAAATCCTGGCTGACAACTCTCTTAACCCCTTTTATGTATAGCTTGTTAAGTCAGAAGACTGAATGGATAAACTTATGCCTTTCTCTTGTTCCTGTCCATAGAGCTAATTGAATTAGAATAGCTCATTAAACAATTGTGTCTCCAGACCTTGAATTCTGTAAGTAAGGCTATAGGTAAGGAAAGCAAGATTATATTTCACTTACTATATAAAATCTAAAATTTAGATAAACTTTAGATTTTATATAATTTAGATTTTATATAATGTAAAATTTATATAAATGTTATATAAATAAAATTTATAAATATAAATAAAATTTATATAAATTTTGTATTAGATAAATATGCTTCCACCACTACTACTAGGAGAGGCATATTTATCTAATACAGTTAGAGTTTTTAACTTGTTTATTGAAGGTAAGAGTTCTTCCAGAACACATTGTTACAATTGTAGGCTTCCCTGGCGTTGTTTCTTATATCTCTCTATCATGTCTGAAAGGGATGTGGATGATTAGAGTGCAATATAATTAGATCTAATTAGAGTATAATGTCATGGATTGGGTGCTATTTATGACAGGTGACCTGAGAAGTTGTTCATAAAATATGGGTGGAAGCCTTCTTTGACTTTGTGGCATGGGGAAGAAGTGATAAGGACTGAAGTCTTCTAAGATCCTCACTCATTGCATCAGAGGAATGAAGACCCAATCACGCAGAACTAGGGGAAGCAACAATTGTATTGTAGACATGGATACCACCAGACGGACTTGGCAGCAGATATCCAAGGCAGTGATGGTGGTAAATGCAGGTTCATCTCTGCTTACAGTTAGAGACAAACATTTACCTTTGGAAGAGAAACAGGGCCGCCATTTTCTTCAGGCAGGGAAAATCTCTATGGTTTGCAGGTGTGGAATTAAGGGTCTCTTTCAGTTTGAATCGAAATGGGGACAGTTGGCAGAGATGTAGACTTAGGTTCTGGGGAAAATGACATATAACCAGAAAATGACGGCAGAGCATGTCACTCAGGGTGGATACACAGTGGGGATTAGCAGAGTAAACACAAAAATGCTGTAGCTTGAAGAGCACATACATTTTCAATTAATTTACTTTATTCAAACCAGCCCAGAAAAGCTGCTTTTTTTTTTTTTTTTTTTTTTTTTTTTGGTGGGGGAAGGGGGAAAAGGATGGAAAAAAGGAAAGACAGAATCATGACAATATAATCATCAGATACTCATTATGTATTTATAATAACCTTGAAAATATACTATGAATGACCTTATTTCTTATCTGACTCTTCATAATGTAGTCTCCATGAGGGCAGAAATTTTTGTCTTTAGTGATATGTGCTCAGTAGAAGTTGCTCAATAAATATTTGAATAAAGAAATGAATACATTTTGCATTTGCCTATGACACTTACCAAAAAGAGTAAGAGTGATTTAACTATAATGCAAGTCACTGACCCTAATAGTTTGTGATTTAAAGTGGTTAATGTGGATACTCATTTTGTATACTACTTTATAGGAAATATATCAGTGATAGAGTATATGTAAAGAATTATTTTTTAATTATTTTTTTTCTCGCCTGGCTGCATGATTAGGAGGTGAGAATGTATCATTGAAAACTGTGTAAGAAAGCAAATGAGAAAAATAAATGATAGAACAGTAGAATTGACACTGATAGTACGAGAGATGGGAGATAGGAGATGGTTGAGTGGTAGATGCATAATTATAGAGGAATTTCCTTCCATCGAGGAGTTAAAATGAGTGATTTACATTCTACATCACTTTAGTCATGGTACTTGCATAAGTAGCAATTGCTTGATTATGCTTTGGGATTCAATTTATACACACACACACACATATATTTATATATTTTAACTTTATATATATATATTTATATATATAAAGTTATTTTGTGAAATGCTTTAAACATATCGAAAGGTAAAGATTAAAATATAATAAATACATTGGTATTCAATACCCATATTGAGAGCAAATGAAATGAATGCCCAAGTATCCCACACCCATATTTAGCAAATATTTTAATTCTACTTTTTGATTCAGCTTTTTAAATAAAAATGTAACTTGTCATTTGGAGTTGAAAATCTCTTTTAACCTTTTCCAAACAAAAGTTTGCATTCCATGAGACTGCAAAATAAGCCTTGTTATACTGGTATATGTGTTTAAATAATTTCAATCAATGTGTTTTCTTTTAATTTTAGAGACATTTTAATGATTAAGATAAAGATTCAGTATAGTTTTTCCCCCCCGTTAAAAAAGCTTAACAATGTAACTTCTCAGATGACAAAGAAATGTTTAAAAGTTTAGGAATGATTAGTTCAGTTTCTTTTCAAAAATAAATTGTTTGCAAATAAAGTGTATGTTGTTTGCCATCCTAATAACACTTCATGATTTTGTACTGTGGAAACTTTTCTGACATCTGTGCTTCATGCATGTGTGCAAAGAACCACAGTACTAAACTGGTAACATTGATTGGGTGGAGAAGATTGTATCATGTAGAATTTGCCATTCTAAATTATTTTGGTACTATTTAAAATTGTGTAGAGCAAGCATATAGTATTTTGAATTTTGAAAGGTAAATGTTAAAAATGTACTTTTAAATTATCTCCTAAAATACAGTACCCATTTCAGTAACATCTCCTTTCCACACTGGATATGACATAAAAAAAGCATATGCACTTATACCTGTACATGTGTGTTTGTGTGTGTGATGCATATGTCACTTATGTATGTATTTTTACCAGTCAAATAACTATATTGCTCTTCCCAGTATATTCCTAAAAATTATAAGGACACAATGTTTTCTCTGTTAATTAGATCATGCTATTTTTGCTAATTTGAGGGGATGCCATTATTTTTTTCTTTATTTTTTTAACAGAGGATGTTCTCTGTTTAACTCAGCATGGCTAACATTTTTTGTTTTTCACACATCTGATTGTCTCCTTGGCGGGGGAAGTAATGCTCTGCTAATTTAAGAAATTAGCAATGTGTTAATAATTTGACAAACCTACTCTGGGTTGTATAACGAAAAACTGTTAAGAGCCATCAATAGAGAAAGTATCTAACATAACCGATTTATGGAATCTAATATATGTTATAATTTATGTTTTATATGATACATGGTTTTCTGTTTCTTGGAGTAATCAAATTCTGAGTAAATCAAAGGCAAAGAATAACAAAAGTAATTATAGAAGAAAAATATGGTTCTGTGTTGATTTTTTTTCCTTTTCCTTAAAAATATAGAGTGGTTAGGTCTCTGAGATTTGTTAATTATATTTTAATGTAATTATCATTTGAATAAAATTTAATTTAAATATTTGATCTATATTTTATGTTTTTCTTGAGAGAGAGTTTCATATGGTACCATGCATTTTGAAAATGTTTTTACATTGTTTTTATCTCAGTGACCATTGTTTTACTTTATTTCTAGGTAAAAGAGTGGCTCTGTTTAAACTGTCAGATGCAAAGGGCTCTAGGAGGTGACCTGGCTCCAATTCCGCCATCACCCCAGCCCAAACCGAAGACAGCCCCAGTTACTCCTGCATCAGTGGTGAGCAAACCATCCCCACAGTCACAGCAGATTCCTCCAAAGAAGGATCCTGCATCCAAACAGGATATCCCAAAGGCACCTGAGTCTAAAAAGCCCCCACCACTAGTGAAACAACCAACCCTTCATGGCTCTCCCCCAGCCCCAGCCAAGCAGCCTCCTGGGGCAGAGTCCTCATCTAAGCCAGTGCCTCCCAAAGAGCCTTCTGTCCCGCCCGAGCAGGCCAAGGTCCCCATGGCTGATGATAAACCAAAGCAGCCCAAGACGGCGAAATCAGCCACAGACATTGTGTCTTCTTTGTCAACAGCAACAAGGCCTGACATTCCAAGCTCCAAAGGACAGTCACAGGATCAAGAGAAAACAACTCCTCCTTTAAAAACAGACTCTGCCAAAACTTCACAGAGTTTTCCACCAACAGGAGAAAAAGTCACCCCACTCGATTCTAAAGTGATACCGCGACCTGCATCAGATTCGAAAATTATTTCACATCCTGGGCCTAGTGTGGAGAGCAAAGGTCAAAAACAAGTTGATCCAGTTCAAAAGAAGGAAGAACCCAAGAAAGCACAAACCAAAATCAGTCCTAAGCCAGATGCCAAGCCTATGCCAAAAGGGGCACCAACACCTCCAGGCCCACGACCTGCCACTGGCCAAACTGCCCCCCCATCTCAACAGCCACCAAAGCCTCAGGAGCAGTCAAGACGTTTTAGTCTGAACCTGGGAAGTATTACTGATGCTCCTAAATCACAGCCCACCACTCCTCAAGAAACTGTGACTGGGAAACTATTTGGGTTTGGAGCGTCGATCTTCAGCCAGGCATCAACTCTTATCTCCACAGCAAGCCAGCCTGGATCTCATTCACAAAGTGGGCCAGGGGGCCCTGCAAAGCCGGTCTCTTCTCCTTCACAGCCACCTTCTTCTCAGGGGCCACCCAAATCTACCAGTCAGGTACCGCCAGCACCTGCAAAGGTTACACCTGTGAAAAAGGAAACAAAAGCTCCAGTAGCTGAAAAATTAGAGCCCAAAGCTGAACAACTTCCAACAGTAAAAAGAACAGAAACAGAAAAGAAGCCTCTGCCTGTTAAGGATAGCAAACCTTCAACAGCTGAGCCCCAAAAGGCTGCCCTGCCCCCCAAACTGGAGAAAACCCCCAGACCCGAATCAGCCTGTCCTCTCTGCAAAACTGAACTCAACATAGGTTCTAAGGATCCTCCTAACTTCAACACTTGCACTGAATGCAAGAATCAAGTGTGTAATCTTTGTGGATTTAACCCTACTCCACACCTGACTGAGGTAAGCAATATTTATATTACATATGGATGTGAGTTTATTGTGTTTATTATTAAATTTTTGTTAGCCAAATTTCTGAGCAGAGAATACATTTCCAGTAAAGAAAGCAAATTGATATTAATATCTTAGAAGTTTCAATTACTTTTTACAGGTTTACTTATTAAAAGTTTATGGAATTTATACTTTTCTCGATTAATGTGCCAGAAGAAGATGAAATAAGCTGACAACTTAAAATTACAGTTATCCCAATTGTTTATGAATTAACCACCTATAGTTTTGGAGGACTTTATGGTTTTCACTTATGCATATCAAATAAGAGAAGTGATTTACTATTTCCAGTCTTTCTAATCCTTTCAGTTTCTTTAATATATAAAAAAGATTATTGGTTGGTTGCAGATCCATAACAAAACATGAGTTCATGAGATCTGTTCTTTTATAAAGATTGCTAAGAACTTTGTGAAGGGAGTAATATTATCTACTAGAAAATATCTATTTAAATATATTATGTCTGGACTTTTTATAGTTCTGTTTGAGCTATTATCTGGCATAAGTATAATATTTTATTAGGAATTGTTATAAGGATAAAAAGATATGGATTTGGCTGACTAATGTCAAGGTACTTTTCTTTTTAATGGAACAAGAATACTTGTTATACAAAGTAAATGACCAAAAAAATGGATAGCGACTTTCTATATAATACAGTTATAAAAGAATGGATCTATGAGCCTTAGTAATGTGTTAGAGCCATTAGAATTTTGGATCTTCGGAGAATGATGGTTTCAATGATAGCTGCTGCCTTAGATAAGTAACAACAATGTTTTAATGAACATTTTGGGATTAAATTTTAAGTAATTGTTTATTGTTTTTATAGAAATCAGAAACAAGTATTCCTCTCCTCTTGATTTTATAACCTATTGTAATGAAAAATTGAATGGATTTTTAATATCTATACAAAAGAAACTTTAGATATTCTTGCTGCCATTTTCAAGTTATTTTTAAAGAATAAACCATATAATATTTTAGTTTTTCACCTTTGAAAGACACCAAGTGGCTTTGATATTAGCACATGAAAATATTGTCTGTACAGACAGATTTAAGCAGGGTTTTATTCTCTTCAACTGTGATGAATAATGTTAATTCAGGTCCATTTTAAAAGTAGGTAACATTTGGTTTCTTTCAGTATGTTGTAAGTGGTAACAACTCTAAGTATTACTGACAGTAATATTTTTGGAAGAGTTGCTTTTGGTTGTGTGTTCATGAAAAGGGAAATTTGGTTTTCTCAGTAAGTAGTTTCTCAAATAATGTTTTGTTCAACATCCTTTTGTTATAATGTTGATGAGAGGAAAAAAAAATAATTATTGGCCAGAACCACTGTTTGCATGTTCTCCTCATGTCTGTTGGGGTTTTCTGGGGAGCCGTCAGTTTCCTCCCCGATCCCAAAGATGTGCATGTGAGGCGACCTGGTGTGTGTCATCGTTGCCTCAGTGCGAGTGAGTGTGGGTGTGTGTGAGTTCGCCCTTGGATGGACCGCTGTCCTATCCAGAGTGGGTCCCACCTTGCCTTCTGAGCTGGGATGGGCTCTGGCCACCTGCAACCCTGAACTGAATAAGCTGGTTGGAAAATCCTGGTCTTACTTTTATTAACCTTTCTCAAATGTATGTATAACTCATGTTTATTTCAGTGTTTAATATTAGGAATGTTTTGGGTCTTTATTTAGAAGTTTGGTGATGTTTTTGTGACCTGAAATATGCTGTAGGAACTTAGCTTGCGTTTATAAATTAATCTAGGGTAAAGTTTATTTTGTTATATGTTGTTTGCTTAAAGTTGCAATTTCTAAGAACCTCAGGGACATCGTTAATTAGGACTTATCGTACAACTATGTTAATTTCATAGATGTAAACAATTGTACCATTTAATGAGTAGCTGTGTGCTGTCAAGAGTATGCAGTTTACTTAAATAGTTGCAAAACAAAATACACCACTAAAAACAAAACAGTAATGTCGGTGTTTAAAGTATATTTTGGTTACACTAAGAAAGAGTGTCTGTATTGCAGAGGGATAACTATAAGGTGTACACACACACACACACACACACACACACACACACGAGTGTGTATATATTTATATGGATACATTTGGACCAATTTTGTCAGTGTTTGGAGGTATGAAATGAGAGCCCTAAGTAGAGATACAATAAACCTTTCACAAAAGTCATTGATTTTTTGTGTGTGTTGGTCAATTATATTTTAGGGGTGGTAATTTAGAAAGATTTCTTGAATAAAGCAGAGGATTATCTAGGGCATGTATGGAATTTTAATAGTTTGAAAATACAAATTGTTTCAAGTTTTTAAATGGTTTAGGTGAAGTGCAATTCTAAAGATGATCAGTGAAATTTAGACAGTCTGACATTGTTCAGATTTTTTTGCTGTGTGGTAATTTCTTTGAATTTGGAAGATCATGTTTCAGAAGTGAAAAAAAATTTGATGTAACAAAAGCAGTGGATTAGTGTTCCTGGCTAAATTTGAGTGTGCTAACTTGCAAGAAGTTTGTAGTTGGCATAAGGCCTTAATGCCCTCTGGTCTCCAGCTGAAGTTCACTGGCTGACCGGGAGTCCAGGGAGTAAGTAATAGAGTTGAGTTAATCCATGCTTAAATAGTTGTTTTTTCTTTTTTTAAATTATTATTACCTAAACGACTTTAGAGGACTGGATGAAAGGGTTAGTTGAAGAGAAAAGCACATTTTATTTGCATATGTGTGTGTAAGTACCTATACATATGTATTCAGGGAATTGTAAATGGGATATATAGGCTTAACTTGTGGTGCCATCCCAGCGTTCATACTACCAATCTCTCTTTCTTTTGAGTGATTAGGAAAGCATGTCTCCTCCTTGATCCTCATTTTGTTTTTATGGTTTATTTGTTCTGTATGTGATATTTTTCTCGTGATCCAGGATTTTCATTGTAGTTTTAGAAAACACATTCTATTTTCAGATTTTATGCCTGCTATATAAAAATACAGTATTCCTTAAGAAAAGATTAAACTATTTCCATCTATTTTTCTAATAAAATACATATACCTTCACTACAAGCCTCTGCTTCTACTGCGCTGATCACTGGGAGGCATGACTTCTTTTTGTGTTGGAGCCACTCCACCCTCCTCCACTATTGCTGTTCTGCTCCTGCCGCAGCCAGGAGAGCCAGTCCTCGTTTGTCTTGGGTCAGGGAGCTGTCCGTAGTATTCCTCCTGCCTCCGCCCGTGAATCAAACACACCTGTCTCCGGTGTTGTTTCCTGTATTCACACTCAGCATCCCCCACAACACCCGTGGCGTGCCAGGGCTGCCTGCAGGGCCCTGGGGTGCAGCCAGGCTGCAGCGCCAGCCTTCTGCTTTACCTGTTTGTTGCCCGGTTTGTATAAATGATACTATAGCTCATTAACCTCAGCTAGCAAGGAACAATTGTTTTAGGCTTTAACTTCTGCCAACTCAGGGAATATCTCATCTTGGAAGGAGTTTTAAAAGCAGATGTAAGGCTTTCTGAAAAAGCTAGTTTATAGAATTTGGAAGCATGCTAAGAAAAACAGCTTAAATTGGCAACCAGTTTGCCTAGTGAATTTTAATCATTCTGATTCAGTTAAAATGCAAAAAGGAGTCAAAGTACTCATAGTGGGTATTTATTTTATTGGGTGTACTACTCTCTTTAAAATTAACTTTCTACTTTTTTATATAAAATAAGACTTACTTTATAATATAAGAATTATATTTCCTCAGGTTTCAGGAAGTCCTAGAATCATACTTTTGCTTTTTTAGTAAGATAATTAGGCATGGCCTAAATGATGTAGGAATAGCCAGCATATATTTATCACTTTGCTTTTACTAAAATCTGTCACTAGGCAACAAATGGGCCTTTTGAGCCAATTAAGACACAGTGGAGAGTAACTAGCCCTTTGGATCATTACTCTTCAACCAGGGAGGCTTCTGCGTTCACTGTCAGATCCTCAGAAGGCCTAGTGGGGATGCTCTGCCTGTCTTAGTCTGGCAAACACAAAATACCGGCCTTTATTTTAAAGATCATTATTTAAGACTTTGAAAGCATGTATCTGTTAATACAAAGCACTGAAGTACAGACATGCATATATGAAAAATTAAAGACAAAGAATGATCAAAATTAATACAGAGAAAAGATTCTACTAATTAGTTTCAAAGAATTGCATATAATGGAGATCTACATTTTGGGTAAAAATTTGTCATGTTGGCAAAGAGGAACACCTGATGGCACTTTTTGACCAACATAAAAAAGTTGGTAAGTTGTCTATAGAAACAGTATTTTAGTTACTAATTTTTAGGAGAGATTTGATCTTACATCTTTATTAAGTGATATTTAGTTGAAGAGTTCAGCTATGGCTTTAAGATAGAAATTTTTAAAACAAATTTAAACAAAAATGTAATTTCTTAACTTTTTAAATGCATTTTACATAGTTAATATTCTACTTTATATGATAGTTTTGTATCCCAATATTAACATGATCATATATCATTTCCCCACATGATTAAAGGGTTCTTAAATATTACATAAAATTTCCCTGGCTGGTGTGGCTCAGTGGATTGAGTGCCAGACTGCAAACCAAAGGGTCGCTGGTTCTATTCCCAGTCAGGGCACATGCCAGGGTTGCAGGACAGGCCCCCAGGCCCCCAGTGAGGGGGTGTGAGAGGCAACCCCCATATCATTGTTTCTCTCCCTCTCTTTCTCATTCCCTTTCCTTCTCTCTAAAAATAAAAATAAATAAAACCTTGAAAAAATATAAAATGACTGAGTATACTCAATATTATGGATGTGTTTTTTTATACACATTGTCCACATATCAAGGATTTACATCATTTTCATTTTTTTTCTTTTAAATAAGATGAACATTTTTGGATGGAAATACTTGTATTTTTAGCTGCTTCCTAAGGAAAGCTTTTTGTATTAGGGTTACTAAATTAGGGAATAAGGACCCTGAAGTATCAA